CGGGCTCGGTTGCGTCCCCGGCGGCTGCATCCCCGGTTCCGCGCGGCTCCACGTGCGCCCTCCCGCGCCGGCTCTGATGCAACCGCGCGGGCGCCGGGCCGGAAGGAGGCGGCGCGGAGGGAGCACGCCAGGGCGAGGCGGGAGAGGGGGGCCCCCCGGCTCTGCTGCTTCTCCCCCAGCCTGGGGCCGCGGCCCTGGACCCCGACATCCCGGCGGGAAGGAGGCGGCTCGGCGGGAGCCCGGGAAAACGAGAGGGCGCCCCGCTCCGCCGCCTCCTCCAACCTGGGGGGATGACCCCGGATCACCCAGCCGGGGCGACCCCTTATGCCTGGACGGGCCTTCCCGGGGGATTACCTTATCCCACCTCCCCGGCCCCACCTCTTTGGACGCGAGAGCCACTTTCCCCTCTTTTCTGGGACAGTTAAAATGGAGCCGGCGGCCCGGTGGTAGAGGATCTGGACGCCTCGTGTCCAGCCGGGGAGCGCGGCGGGGCAGCGCTCTTGTCTCTGAGGTTCCCCGAGATGCACGTGTCACCGGTGGGCGCCCCGAGGCATCCCCGGGACCCCTTTGGTCAGGCGCTCGGTTCAGAGGTGTGTGCACTCCGGGGATCAAGACAGCTCGTTCCGGCGAGGCGAAGCGCAGGCGGGGCCGGAGGTGCCGGGAGAGGCCGCCTCGCCTTCCCGGGAACCGGTGCCTGGTGCAGCCTCCCCGCGCCCAGGGCCGCCCACCACCCCTCTTGGTGGCCGCTCCTTCTCCTCCAGCGTTTATCCTGAAGGAATTGCCTTAACTCCGCTCCTTCCCCCCACCTTTTGCCCCCCCCCCAGCTTTTCACAATGTGGCTGCTGATGCCGAAGGTGATGCTTTCGTTTCGTTTATCTCTTTCCAAATGTTGCATTTTCATTTACTTGCCACCTGTTTGGATGTTTTCATCTTTCTCTCCCGCCTTTTATTTCCTTTTATCTATTTATTTTTATTTATTTGTGGCAGACTGCACAAGTGAGCGCATTAAGTGTGTTCAGATTCAGGGGGTGCGCTCAGAGCAGGGGGCCTGAAGAGTGATCCCTCGGTTTACAACACACCCCACAGGAATCGGGGGCGCCATGTGACCAGGCGGCCAGTAGCTTGTGGCCGGCCTGGTAACTATTGCCCTACATGTTAAAAAAATGTGGTTCCAGGACTTCTTCGTTAAGTCGTCGCTCCCTTTCCACTTTTTCTGCAAGTTCATTAGCCAGCGCAGTGCTCGGGCCATCTTGATGGTTTAGTGGTGAGGGGCTGAAGACAGCTATCTGGGGAACCTTGTCACAACCTCATCTCCTGTTCTCTCTCTGACATGCTCCCCCACCTCCCCAGTTTTTCATTTCTCTTTCATCTGTCCTGGTAACCTGGAATGGAAGCTCATTTAAAAAGTCTCCACCCTGGAAGAGACTGACTTGGACTTTGGATTTAGTGTGATTGGATCCACAACCAGCACCCATGGCAGCAGCAGTTAAGACATCAAAAGATGTGCTGCGTTGGGAAAAGTTGTTGTTAAGGACCTCTCCTAAGAGCTGTGGAGCAAGGATGTCCATTTAAAGACCAAGAAAATACCCAAGCCCTGGTCTATCCAGGGCTCTCCGTGCTTCTACAAGTTAGACAATGAAAAAGGAAGACAGAGAAGAATCAGTGCCTTTAACTTGCAGTGTTGGAGAAGAGCCCGTGGACTGCCACAAGTACAAACTAGTCTGTCCTGGAGCGAGTTGCAACCAGGCTGCCCCTTGGGAGGCAAGGATGCTAAAATTTCATTACACATACTTTGGGCACATGGTCAGGATGGAACAGTCCTTGGAAAAAGACATCTGGGTAAAGTTGAGGGGGAGGGGGAAGACCCTTAGAGAAGTGGGTTGATAAAAATACTCCAACAGTGGACTTGAACATGACAGAAATTGTGAAGACAGGGCAGGGTTCAGATCTGTTGCTCACAGGGTTGGGTTGTAGTTGATCCAGTGGCCCGGAAGGAGAACAACAACAGTAAAGCATCTGTACAGTTGATCACCAGGCCTTTCTTAGACCTCTGGGGGATCGTGCAGTGAACAGCTCAATTCTCCAGTGCTGCTGTGCCAGTGCCTGTTGTGTGTTGTCAAGTTGGAACCAGCCTTTAGCTGCCCCTCCGACAGGTTTTCAGAGGCAGTGTAATCACACAGGATGCTGGGCTTTCTCCTCCAGAGTAGTGGGTGTATTAGAACCGTGTGCTTCCGAATTGGCATCCCTGCTCCTTACCATTAGGCCACGGGGAGGTGGATCAGATGCATGCTCTCAATTTAGTAAGTTGGAAGTCCACGTTGAGGGCGCCAGCTCTAGGGGAAGGGTTCCAGCACAGGCACGAGGACCCAAAGGAGGTGCCCCCACCCCATCTCCCACCCGCTCTCATTTCAATGAATGGTTCCAGAGATGCCCCTTCTCTGCTCTGCTCTCTCTCATCTAGGTGAGACTGAAGGTGTTATATGCCACACTCCAGGGAATTTCTACTTCATCTCTGCCGGGCTGTGTGATTAAGTGTGCTCATCCGCTCATAATCCTTTTACAGCGGTTCTGTTTATCAGATTGCAGGTGATCATTACATAACTTCCCCGTTACATATTCCACATGCTTTGACAGGATGCAGTTCACTCCATGACAGCAGCCAATTAGCAGCCAATTGTGTTAATCTTCTTTAATCATCCAGGGAGACCTCAGTTCTCTAGGTGGTTGTGTGGACAAGTATATAAATTGTAAATTCCCTCAGATGTAACAGGTGGACTGATCATCCCATGAAACCCTGCACACAAGATTTTTCCAGTCCCTTAGCCCTGCTTGTTCTGTGGCTGCATGTTGGGGGCCCGGCTTAGCTGCAGAGGGAGACAGCAGGCTGGAGAGGAGTGGGAGGCTTCCTCTGTTTAGTGAGGATGAAGTTGACGAGACAATTAAAAAAAAATCAGTTAAAGTTTACAAAACAATCTGGTTTTTCAGATTCAGTTATGAATAGAGAAAAGACTTTTTTGTTTTGTTTTAATGGATCTGGAAAATCTGACACACTTGTGGTACTTATAAAATTTCTCAAGCTTAGTGAATCTTTTCTTTCCTGCCTTGCTGGGAATGAGTAACCTCAGAATGTTACAAATGAAATAAGTTGGGGGTGGAGTTAGCTTGTTAGTGTGGAGTATTCCCTGCATTGCTCTCTATTATCTGATAACCCCACCATGTTAAATGCCTGATTACTTTTGAGGGAGCTCTGGTGGCTTTGTAGATAAGGAGGTAGGCAGCTTGAACTACCCAGTTACTTTCCTGAAGAAAGATGAGCTTTCTCCTCTCCTGTCCTGTCCCATTAAGTCAGAACCCACCCATGGCGAATCCTCCAGTGGGATTTTAGAGGCAGTAAATCAAATGGGAGGAGATTGCCCATCTTTCTCCCACAGAGTCCCTGGTGGATTTGAACCACATACCTTTGCATTGGCAGCACAGTTCCTTTACTGCTAAGCCACCAGAACTTGATGCAGGGTCAGCAATGAGTTGGTTCCCTCTGGGGGCAACAAATAAGTGATTACTTTTTGTCTACTGCAGCTTAAAGTCTTGTTACCCTTCATTTTATTAAAGCCACAAGCAAGCTCATCTCTGAAGAAATTATTGATGTCAGTGTGAATATTTTTAGTGCACAAGGGTAGGTTTGAGGCACACACACAAAAATTACAGTTTATAAGGGAACATCTTATACTGCTGTTACAGTTGAGGAAATGGCTTCATAGAAATGAAAGAAATTGCCCATGAAAATGAAAGGCCTCCTGTGTGTGCCTTCAGGGCCAGGCTCCCTCTCAGTGCCCAGAACTACCCTGACACCGTGTTAAAATGCACGTCGCGGGCTCATAAGTCCTCGTTTGTGCCAAGCTCCCCAGATGAAACCTGCAGCCTTGCTGAAAACCACTTGAACCCACACTCTGATGTCTTAGCACAGGGCTGAAGTAAGGAGTTTGCATGGCTGAGTTAGCTGGACCTGCACCCCACTTGTCTGGAATGTCCCCAGAAATTTGTGGTAGACCGGCATTACCAGGCAGAGGACTTGGAATGATCCTTGAGAAGTGATTCCCCAACTTCGTTCTCATTTCTTCTACACAATGATAGTTATTTTGCTGAGAGGGCCTGTTGCTTTATCCACAATGTTTTGAAAAGCAAAGCAAGCAAACACTTTCACTGGGGCATGCAGTTTGATGCTAGTCCTTTCTGCTCCACTCAGTAGAACCCAAGACGTCTAATCCAGGTTAAATGCCCTCCTCTTGCACCAGCTGGAGAATTTGCATTCCTCAGCCAAATTCAGGGCGACAGGCATTGAGTAGAACTGCTTCTAGGGTGTCCCAGGCTCTGAGTCTCTGTGGAAGCAGTCAGCCTCATTTTTCTCCTACAAAGCAGCTGGTGGATTAGAACTACTGACCTTTTGATTAACAACTCAGCATTTAATAAAAAGAAAATCTACATCCTAATGCTTAGTCGGTTGTGCCACCAGGACTCCCAGCCTAACTAAACCAAATGCCAAACCCATCACCGTGCAGTCAATTCCAGCTCCGAGCCGCCTTTTAGTACAGAGTGCAGCTACACCCTTTCCCCGTGGGGCTTCCTAGTCTGATGAGGTGTTGTTCGGCCAGCACAAAGGCAGGAGGTTTGAATCCACAGCTGATCAGTAAGAGAAAGATGGACAGTGTCCTATGCAATTTGTTGTTGTTATGTGCCGTGGAGTCGCTTGCGACTCATAGTGACCCTATGTATTACAGCTCTAAACTCTGTTCTGGGCCAATCTCATTGTCTCTGACACACTCATCCCGATTGTCCCAGTCACCGAATCAATCTACTTTCCAGAGAACCTTCCCCTGCTGCGCCTCCCCTCCACCCTCCCAAGATGTCTTTCTCCAAGGACTGGTCCCTCCTTACAACATGACCAAAGTATGTCAGATGAAGCCTCAGACAGAATCCTTGCCTCCAAGGAGCCATCCAGTTTAACCCTCTGTAGGATGAATCTGTTTGTTTTCCTAGCAGTCCATGGTACATTCAGTACTCGTTTCCAGCACCACAGCTCAAAGGCATCAATTCTCCTTCTATCCTCCTTGGTCATTGTCCAGCTCTCTGACGCATAACAAGTGATTGTGAAGACCATGGCCTGTACCAGATGCACCTTAGTCTCCAGAGACACGCCGTTGCTCTTCAGTACTTTAGAGAGGTCCCTAACAGCAGACTTTCCCATCACAATACAGTCTATGCAATTTACTGCCTCTGAAAACCTGCTGGAGGGTTAGCCAAGAGTTGGTTCCAACTTGATGATACAAAGTAACAATTTTAACAACTGCTGTTTGGAACAAGTAACTGTGTTCCTTAGAGACAAGCTTGGTGAAGTTTTATCTCACATACTTTGGGTATGTTGGCATGTTCCTTGGAAAAGAAGCATCATACTGGGAAGTCAGAGAGGTCAGAGAAAGACAGGAAGATTTCCACGAGGTTGAGGTCATAACTGTGGCCTTGAGCGTGTCAGAGATGAGATGGTGCAGGGTTGGGCAGCGTTCAGATCTAGATGTTCATGGATCTCTGAGAGTCCTAGTCTTTTGTGACTCCGTGGCCTCTGACCACAGTGTTGATGGAAGTGGATCACCAAGGCTTTTCTCCCTTAAACCTTAGACCTGTCCAGTAACCTCCAGGAGCTGACCTGCTGTGCCACCGCGTTTCGGCCACAGCTCTGCTTCACAGATCGGGGTGGGGTGGGGGGCTGATCATGCCTTTCTGCTTTTGGAGGGCTTTTTGGTAGCAACATCTTCACCTTCCTTGGCTCATGAATCATTTTTGGAAACCTGTCAAGATGCCATGGTGAGCCTGTGGGAAATTGAAGACATAACTGAAGCTTGGATGCTGCTCTGGCTAAAGCCTGTGCTGATTATTGTGAGAAAGAGTTTTTTAAAACCAGTCTCTGGTTGTTCCTGTGCTAAGCCAAGCCCAGACTGGCCTCGGTGTGTATACTCAGCTCATGGGGACCCCATTACTTGGCCGCCTGGTGAAGAAACGTCAACCGTAGTGTGACTGAGGCCTTCCTGTACAGCAGACGTGTCCTCAGTCCTCTCACCTCACAGCTCATTTATTGGAGCTGCCTTAGCGTCCCCTCCCACTCCTGGGGACCCCACATAGAGCAGAATGACGTGGGGACTGGTGTCTGCAGCCTTCAAGATTGCTGGTGTATCGAGAGCCCTACTGCAGCCATTGTCTGTTCTGGGTGGCTCCCCCCTCCCCCCAGAGTGCTCATGGGGTGTGCTCCCACGTCTGGTGGAGTCCACTTGTGCCCTAGGCAGTTTTCCATGGCTCATTCTTTAGAAGGAGATTGCCAGACCTTGGGGTGATCTTGAACTTCCACCCTGTTGGTTAGGTGGCAATTGGCTGGCCAGACACTTCCTGTGCTGGTGACCATTCCATTCGGTAGGGCAGTGGTGAAGGTGGAAGCCAAAGTCACTCATTGCAGAAGTCTTTAGAGATTTCACTAGGTCCATCCTAGCCTCCACCACGTAGCCCTCCACCCTCTGCTCTGCTGGTAGGCTGGAGGCTGGGCGACCAGGCACTGGACCTCCAAGGCAGTCCCCCCTAGACTACAGATGTTAAGGAGCGAGGGGTGCTCTCCCTAAAAGCCTTTGGAGTTTGCAAAGCTCTTGTGTGTCTTCAAGTGTCACAGCCACAGTCACTGTCATCTCCTCTGCCGTTCACTCCTGGTCCTTTCTCTAAATTCCAAAACCTCGGATCCCATCTGATCCAACACTGTTGCCTCCCCACCCCTCTCTTTGCCCTTCTCCGCAGTACCTCCTCACTGGCATTCTGTTTCTGTGAGAAAGAGAACCTCAAATGAATTCTGGGGAAGCTATGACTGAGGAGAAGGTTGTTTTAATAAATAGAAATTTTTATTGTCGTAAACTCGTAAACTTGGAAAATGTGAAGAAAAAAATTGGCCTCTAGAAAAATCGCCATTGATATCTAGGTAGATTAAGAAGCCTGGGTTATGTGGTATCTTATGTTTTGGGCTGCTAACCAGAACGTCTGAAGTTCAAATCCACTAGCTGAGAACGATGAGAATATTGTCTCAAAACCTGATGGAGGATGTCGATGAGGGGGTCCTCCGTGAGTGGGGATCAGCTAGACGTGAGTGGCTTTGGTTATGGGCCCTTTTGTCCCCCCTGATTGTTTCTGCATATTTTTCAAACCCGTCTTGTGTCATTTCCACTGTGAGTAGGAGATGGCCTCACCACTATCGTAGCCTTCCACACTCTCCACGTGGAACGCATCTGTCTGTGGTCCAGTTGGTTCACTTACAGTCACAGACTCTAAGGTGGTAAAGTCCATGGTAAAGTCATGACCGAGTTTTTTTTCTTCACGTAGAGAAGTCATTCAGAATTCAAAGGAAGTGCTCACTTTGCTGCAAGAGAAAAACCCCACCTTTCAGCCAGTTCTGGCCATTATTCAGGTAAGGCACTATTATTCCGGTAAGGCGAGCCTGTGGGTCCATTCCTTGATTTCATGCCTTTCAGTGGAGATCAGAGTTGCATGCAAAGACCAGGCTGTGTCTTTTGTCAGAGAATTTCTGTTCTGGTTTAAGGGTTGGAAGAGAGGCCTCACCTGGAAATATTGGAGGTGCCCAGGTATTTGAGCATGTGCTTTTGGGGTTCTAGATGAGAGACCGCTGCATGTGAACCTGAGGTCTTGTGAGTCCTTCCAGGGCCTGGGCAGCTCTCAGAGGTCATGAGCTCGTCCTGGGGGTTCCAGTCTAACTGGAAAGGTGATGAGGAAAGTGAGGAGCAGGACTTCCCTTGTAGGTGAAAGGAAAGCGACAGCTGATCCAGGGACGCTGTGAGCGCGGAGCCCTGGGCCTGCCCGCTCTCCCAGCTCTCCTGCGTTCTGCTCCTGGCAGCAGCCACTTGTGTCACTTTTCTGTCTCTCTCTGCTTGGTTTTTGCCATTGAGTCAAAACTGACCCATAGCTGACCCTCCAGCGGGTTTTCAGAGGCTGTACATCACACAGGGGGAGTTTGCCCGTCCTTTTCCTGAGAAGCATCTGGTAGATTTGAACTGTGTCCCTTTAGGATTGCAGCACAGCGTCCTACCTTTAGGCCACCAGAACTTCATGCTAATGGGGAGTATTTGCATTTTCCTTCTCTTACAGATTTCTCCCTTACTCAGGACTTGCTGTATTTATTAACATATTAATTATTTGAGTGTTCATTTTATACTACTTAAAAAAAAAAGACTAGTCCTCATATTAAGACATATACAGGGAACTCTGGTGGCCTAGTGGCAAGAGCTGCACTGCAGTCCCAGAGGTATGTGGTTCAAATCCACCAGATGCTCTGCTGGAGAAGGAGGGGCAATCTCCTCCTTTGCCAGTCAGATCAGATTTGATGGTACACACACAAATAATAAAATAAAAGACATATATTCTAGTAGTCACATAACCAGTGTCCTTCTATAGGAATGTAGGTGACTTCTCTGAGGTGAAAATGTTCATCAGATGTCTTTAAAGGTGAGAGGAAGAGACATTCACCTTTCTGTGGAGGACAGATCCCAGAAGAAATGGGGGTACCGAACAGCCTACTGCTGTTGGTAAAGGTGTTGGGTGCCATCACGTCCGACCCCGTGTGTAGCACAGTGGAACCAGGCCAGGTCCTGAGCCATCCTCACAGTCGTCTGTGTTTGAGCCACCGTGTCTGTCAGTCCATCTTATTGAGGCTTGTCTTCTTAGCCACCCTCGGCTTTACTAGACATGTGGTCCTCCCTGAAAACCTGCACAAAATATACAAGACAGAATCTCCTCATCTTTGCATCTAAGGAGCTTACTACCAGCTGTCTTCAAGCCAGCTGTACCCTGGCAGGACCTGCGGTCATTCTCACGCCGGAAGGGCTTTGCATTCTTTGCGTATTTGGCTGCAGCCTGTGGCTCACCACTGCTGCTGTTGGCTCCCTGTCTGCTGATTGGCTCACTCTGAGGTAACAGATGCAAAGGGAGCAACAGAGGCAAGCCAAGGCCAAGGCCATGGCCAGCAGCCGGCACAGCCAACACTGTGTGTTCTTGGCATAGCCCTGTGTGGATGTATCCACACAGCAGTCTCCAGTGCCAGCAGGGTGGTTTTTCAAGATTGTAGGGCTCCGTGTGCTCCAGTTCTTTAGGGTCTTTATCCACGCCCCCTTAATAGAGAAAGACGATTAGAAAAGGAGAGACAATCAGATTATGATGTGAGCTTTGGCCTCTTTACTCATTAGCTTTCTACATCCCTCACCTCAAGGAAGCAGCCATGGACTCCAGCACGTGACAGCCACGTATGTGTCAGAATAGAACCAGGTTCTGTGTTGTTATCTGTGTCAAGTATGAGTCTTAGTGAACCTATGAACAACATAGATCTGAGCCCTGTCCTATCCTGTGCCGACCTCACAACTCTGCCACACTCAAGCCCATTGCTGCAGTCACTGTGTCAGTGCACCTGGTTAAGGCTCTTCCTCTCCTTCACTGTCCCTCCACCTTTCCAACATGATGTCCCTCTACAAGGAATAGTCTTTCCTGACAACATGCCCAAAGTATGTGAGATGAAGCTTTATCATCTCTGCTTCCAAGGAGCACTCGGGCTGCACCTTCTCCAAGACATAGCTGTGTGTTCTTTTGCTGTCCATGGGATACTCGGCACTCTTCTCCCACACCATGACTCAAAGCATCAATTCTGCCATTCTTATTCGTTGTCCAGCTCTCATATTCCTAGCAAGTGACTGAGGAATGTGAATCATGTTCTGTAGGATTTTAAGGACTAGTTTTTCAGAAGTAGATTGCCAGCCTTTTCTTCCGTGTCACCTCCGGATGCCTTGAGACCTTCAGTGAACTCGGCATCTGAGCTTGTTAATAGTTTTCACCATCCAGAGATTCCAGCTTTCCATGTTAGGACATCATTTCAGTGTCTGTTGGTGGGACCCTCACTTATAAAAGGGGGTGCTGGTGGTGTTGACCAGAGGGCAGTGTGCAGCTGACCCAAAGATGGTGCTTCCCTGGCATTTTGGACCCATCAGCTGCTTCGAGGGAGGAAGACTCCTCTTGTTTCCAGCCTTGGAAAACCCGCTGGTGCGTCAGCTGTGGTTCTGACTCACAGGCAGTGCCCTTGACCTTTGACTTCCTTTATATGCTGAAAGCTCGAGAATGAAATCAGCCCACGTTTCTGTGCGCCAGGATTCTTTTCTGTGCTTTCTTTATCATCTTTGCAGTTGGATAGAGTGTATTCATAGAATGAGTGTCGTGTTATGTGCTGTTCCGGGAAGATGTCTATGTTTTCACATCCTTCTCCTTCTCTCCCAAGGCAGGTGAAGACAACCTGAGGCAGAAAATAAACCAGAACTTGGCTGAGGAGGTGAGTCTCGCTGCGTGTTAAGAGCTCTGTGGTGGTTTTCAGGGGTGCGTTCTCCCCGTGACAGGTGTCTTTGTTCTCTTCTCAGGCTGGTCTGAGCATCACCCACCTCTCTCTTCCTCCAGAGAGCAGCGAAGATGAGGTGAGTCCCAGCTGGCATTTACACTCCTCAGGGGTGCAAGTGGTACAGTGGTTAAAGACAGCTCTTCCGAATGGAAGGGTTCATGGTTCGAAGCCATCCAAGTGGCTCCACAGGAGACGAAGCTGGCAGTCTGGTCTCCATAAAGGTGACAGCCTCTGGGCATTCTGTTCTGTCACAGGGTTGCTAGGATTTGAACTCAGTTTGATGGCACATGGCAACAGCATTCAACGTTTGTATTCAGCTTTTTTACAAACCTGAATTCAACTCTCCACACAATGCTGTGAAGTTGGAACTGATTCCCCGCTGACTCAGCATTGGTTTTCTGAGACTGTCAATCGGATGGGCTTTCTCCCCATCCGTCTTTCCCCCTGGAGTTGTTGGTGTATTTGAACCCTCAGAGGTGTGTGGCCTTTGAGGTAGCAGCAGATCTCCTTTTGAACGAGGCTTCTGGAAGTCTCTTCTTTAGACCTGTTATGTGCCCTCGATTGAAAGCGACTCGTAGCTGATGCCCTAGTGTGGGTTTTCAGAGGCTGTAAATCCCCCAGGAGGAGATTGTCTATCTTTCTCCCTTGGAGAAGCTGGTGGATTTGAACCATGTACCTTAGGATTGGCAGCACAGCTCCTTCATTACCGCTAGGCCACCAGAGCTCCCTACTAGATTTTTTCACATTTCTTTGTGTGACTGGAACAGATTCAGCTTACTTCTCTTGTCACTGCTAAAGGTGTGAAATCTCTCACCTGACTGTGTCTGAATTTTGGGGAAACATGACCTCTTCTCTTTCATATGAATGCTCCTTGATCTCTTTCACGTTTATGCCTGTGTGTTTACCAAAGACTTGACTCGGTTATTTTGGGTGTATTTCTTTTCTTTCTTTTTTTAATTTAAATATGGAACACTTCACTAATTTGTGTGTCATCATTGCGCAGGGGCTGTGCTAATCTTCTCTGTATCATTACAGTTTTAGTATATGTGCTGCCAAAGCGAGCACATTTGGTGTATTTCTTCCACTGACGTTAGCAGTTGTATCTAGAGGAGACCATCTGGCTGGATTGTTCTAATTCTCGCTCTGTGCTGACAGCTTGTTTGAACTTTACCTAGTTTATGTTGTTTTTTTGGGGTTTTTTTTTACATCTCTGGGTCATGATTGCTGTAAAGGGTTCTGACCCCAGCTACCCCGACTTAGACCAAACTTCACAGGTTAAGGTATGGCCCTCTGGACAGCTGTGGTCCATGACATCAGACAGAACCTCCAAATTCAGGGCTTACTGGGGCCACTGTCCCACCCAGCTGGCTTAGATTTGGAGCCTCCACTATTCAGCCCAGGTTCAAGAATTTGCTAGATAGTGTGTTTGACGTGCAGGTAGTATAGCACTGGTCTGTGCGTTGCTGTACAGAGGTAACTCGTGGTTGCTGTGATGCTGAAGCCTGTGACAGTGATGTGCCAGTCGTGGTAATGGGCACCCATGGTGGACAGTGTTGGCTGGAGCTTCCCGACTAAAACAAGCCTGGAAGCAGGAGCGGCATCCACTTCCAGAATGGCTTGCCTCTGGAAACTCTATGTACGAACAGTGCTCAGGCTGTTTGTTCATAGGGTCGCTATGAGTCGTCTACGACTCGAAGGCATTAAACAACAACAACAGTGTCATGTTGTTGTGATGTACTATCAAGTCTAATCTGACTCCTGGTTGACTCTCCAGTGGGTTTTCAGAGGCAGTAATCCCACGCGAGGAGATTGCTCATCTTTCTCCCACAGAGCAGCTGGTGATTTGAACTATGTGCCTTTGGGTTGGCAGTGCAACTTCTTACCATTAAGCCACCAGAGCAAATAAGATATTTGTTAAAGTAGTAAGAGTAGAGATCCAGACTCTGGGACAGTAGCAGTATCTCATCTTCCTCGTGGCACTAATTAGAAGACCTGTGTTTTATGACATTTAATTGTTTTTCCCTCTAATAAGTAAAAGGGCAAACAGTGTAAAAAGTATCATGAAAGGAATACTTAAAAGCAAAAGGATGTGAGTGATGTAAGTTGTATTTCTTGCTCTACTTTCTCTTTCTCGCCTTCAAGCAAGCATCCCTAACATGTTTGAATTTTTCTGATTGTCTCACTGCTGAACTTAGATTGTCTAATGTTAAAGAACTTGGGAAGTGCTGTGCTCAGTTTTAGTACAGCAAAATGGATGCGTTTCAGAAGAGGCAAAAGGGCATTTTAGTAGGGGAAGGTCGGGGAGGGTTGTACGGTGAAGTTTCCCTGTCATCTCCCTGTGACATCAGGACACATCCTCTCTTGAGGATGTCATCTCTCTTGAGTTTTACTGGTGTCTCATTGTGTGGCTCCAGTGATTGCATCATTAACCATGTCATTGAACTCACTCTGAAGCCCCCATACAGTGCCTGGTGCATCTTTGCATGATGGCCAGCCCCCACTATGACCAGTGCAGTCAAGGCCCACTGAAAAAGAAAATACTCCACTCTCTCAGGAAATTCAAGAGTTTACTAGACAGAATATCCAGGCAGAGTTAATGTTTCACTCCACCGTTGCCTTCATGACAGTGAGTGCAGGACAAGGATGGGGTGATCGTTAGCTCTCCGAGCACTATCCTCTGAATCCCTCAGAACCATGCTGGGGACAGATAGGAATATCCAGAGACTTCCTTCTCTCACGGTGGCATGTGATTTAGTTACTACTGCCCCCCAAAGTTGTATGTGAGGTTTGTGTGTGTTGGGGTTGGCTTGGTAGCATCCAACAAGCCAGAAGATGCAGCTGCCTTTACAAGGGTCTCTTCACATCTAGAAGAAACAGTCTCCCCCAAGCAATAATGACACTGGACTGAGGACGACACAGGCCGATGGCTAGCTGGTGAAGATTTGGTTTCATTTGGTGTGATACTCAGAGGAAGCCCTTCAAGGAACAGAATCTTAAATAACCCAGAAGCTCCTTTTTCTTCTGCCATGTGATTGAATTGCTATGACTCACCGTAACCCTGTCAGCAACAGCTCTGAACTTGACCCTATCTCATCCCTTTCTCGGCATCTCTGATACACTTAGGCCCACTGTTACAGTCCCTGTGTCTATCCATCTTGTTGAGGGTCTTTGTCTCTTTGACTGACCCTCTACCTTTCCAAGCATGATGTCCCTTTCCGAGGACTTCCCCTCCTAACAGCAGGCCCAGAGGACGACAGGCGAAGGTGCCCAGGATGGTGAAGCCACATACAGTCTAGAAGTAGATGGTCCTGGTTGGTGTCATGGCGTCACAAAGTCATTAGAGACCTTGTGTCAGGTAACGTGGCTCTTTGTTAAGTTACCTCACAGCCCAAGGTGGCAGCCTGACCTCTGCATCAACTGCTCTGCAGAGGGAACTCTGGTGGCGGAGTCCGCGGGGAGTCGTGCTCGGGACCCACAAGCCACGCCTCTGGCTGTTCCCATCCACCAGCGTCTCCGTGGGACAGAGACGGACAGGCTTCTCCCGTGTGATTTACAGCCTCCTGAAAACCTGCTGGAGGGTCAGCTACGAGTCAGTTCTGACTTGACGGGAATGAGAATGAGTAAAAACAGTGATACATGGGGATTTCAGTGCCTGCTTTTTTCTGAAATAGATCCCCAGGCCCTTCCTTCCCGTCACCCCTGGGAGGACACTAACCGCTCTGACCTTTTGATTAGCAGCCAAGGGAAGTGCATCACCCATTTATATCACCCTGGAACTCCTACCAACATGAGTTTCGTTAGGAATTGAAACATAAATTGTAAACCACCCGTGCTTCTACGTGGGCTGGTCTCATAGTTGTTGTAATTGTTATATGCCTGTGACTCACAGCAACCTGTGAACAGCGTCTCTGAGCCCTGCCCTGTCCTGAGCCAACCTCACCATCTCTGCACACTTGACCCCATTGCCACAGGCACTGTGTCAATGATGCATCTCATCCCATTGCCACAGGCACCGTGTCAGTGATGCCTCTCATCCAGGGTCTTCCTCTTCTTTGCTGATCCTCCACCCTTCCAAGCATGATGTCCTTCTCCAAGGAGTGGTCCCTCCTGGCAACCTGTCCAGAGTGTGTGAGATTGAGCTCTCTTATTTAGAAGCAATCATGTGGGTCGGTAGGAAGAAATCAGTGTCTTATCTCCTGTCACAAACAGAAGAACATGGAGACAGGATGAAGCATTGCTTATTGTACAGCATAGACAATGGTGAGTTACTACCTACGTGCCGTATAGTACACCTTTGTCCTTGACCCAGATCATGTGGCGCTGGCGCTCGGAGGCTGTAATCTGTTGTGTGCTAACCTGTAGCCTGCGAGTCTCCTGGCTCAAGTCCTCCAGTGCCTCCGATGGAGAAAAGATGGGAAGTGAGCAGTCTCCTCCTGTTAAGATTCACAGCCTTGGAAACTCAGGGGAGGAGGGTGGCTGTGAGCGGGACAGGTTGGAATCGACACAGTGGTGGTGTCCTTGAGATGGTGTGTGAGGCGAAGCTTCACCTTCCTGAGAAGCTGTGAGCCTGTTAGACTGTGATCCTGTGAGGAAGGGTCAAACCTTGGAGAAGAACATCATGCTTGGGAAGGTGGGGGGTCAGTGAAAGAGAGGAAGACCTTCAACAGGACGGACTGACACAGAGCCTGTCAGCATGGGGTAGAATGTATCAGAAGGGTAAGGACGGCACAGGTTAGGCAGTTCAGAGCTGGTGTTCCTTAGGGTTGCAATGAGTCATCACGCTCAGCATCATGTAACAGCAGCAAACACTGCCTGTTGCTCTGCACGCAGCAGTCACTGCGGGTGAATGGCGTAATAGAGCAGTCTGTTTCCCGGAAGATTTGCAGCCGTGGGCTCTTTATGAGGCAGCCTTGCCCTGTCCTCACAGAGCCCTGGAAGTCAGAACTCACTTGGTTACTGTAGAGTGATTGTTTAGGTCTAGAAGGGCTGGGCACTTAGAATTGTCAGCCTTTGGAAAGGCTTCTGGGGGCCATGCAGGTCCAAAGAGCATGAGGAACTACATGAGGGCTTTGGGAAAGTCATGATTGTTGGGCTGTTGTTGCTCCTGTGTGTTTGAAGCGCCGGTATGGTAAGCTGTGGATGCCTGAGATGCTCACGCTGTACTTGTGTGATTCCAAGCCAGCAGTGGGTCCCGTTCAAAATATGACTGTCTCTTTGTCCTTTAAGAAGCCTAATGCCCAAGGAGCTCTGGTGGCCTAGTGGCAAGAAGCTGCACTGCAATCTCAGAGACGCATGGTTTGAATCCACCAGATGCTCTGCTGGAGGAGGGACAATCTCCTCCTGTACTCGTCAAATCTGATTTGACAGTACGTGCACACACACACACACACACACACACACACACACACACAAAATAAATAAAAGAATAATTCTTGATTCTACACCTAAAAAAAAAGAAACCTAATATGTGTTGATCTTTTGTTTCACTGGGTGCTTTTCCCGAGTAGCAAGTAGGGCCATAAGAAAAAACCAAAGAGAAGCCACTAAGGAAACTGAGGCAGGCTTTTGAAAAACGTTTTTCTTTCGAAATATGATGATTAGAGGACTAGGCTCTGTTGTGCCTTGTACCACACCCCCCAACACAAAAGAACAACTCCAGCAGACACGTATTGAATGAGTCCATGCTTTTTTTAAAAGAAAACTTCCTTTCTTGGTGTTATTTTCAGAAACCTGAATTTTGGTTTGTGGCTTTGTCCCCCTGCGCCTTTAGATTATAGATGAAATCTTGAAGGTCAATGAGGACATCCGAGTCCACGGCCTGGCCCTTCACGTCTCCGATAACACAAACGCGTTTAGCAGCAAGGTGCTGAATGCCCTGAAGCCAGAGAAAGATGTGGATGGGTAAGAAAATCGAAAAGAATTCTGTTTTTGCTAAATCAAGTTTTCCACTGTGTTCCCCCTCCCAAATTATTTTGATTTGTTTTACGGATGTCAGTAATTTAAAAGAGAGGCTATTTTAAAATAACTAGTGATTTGAGGGATTTGATGATTTTAAATTCTGTCTCAAGAAAGCTCCTTATTACGGAAAACACATCAGGTTTTTTTATAGGGCGTAGGCTCCCAGTGGACAGATTGGTGGCTGGGCTCCACCAGCCACTATGGTGGAGAGGGACGTGGCAGGCGGCATCAGGCATCCTCTGTATGGATTCACGGCTCTGGCACCTGATAGGACAGTTTTTGTCCGTCCTGCGGGGTGGCTGTGAGTCAGAGTGGCTTACTTGGTTTGTGTGACCTTGTAAATCACCTCCTTGCACCATCAGGTTCATTTGCTAAGCTGCTGTCTGGTTTATAGAATCAGCTCTTCCAGTAGTTCCTGCCTGGGATAAAGGATTTGCACTCGGCTAATAACCAGGATCTCCTCCCCCAGGGGTGCTGGCAGCCGCCCTCTGTAAAATCCCAGCCTTTAGGACTCTATGGAGCAAAGCCCTGGGAGTGGACTCAATGGCCCTGGTGTGGGTTTTTAAACTCTTCTAATAGTGTTTCTTGGTAATGCTACCAAATTAGCAAAAAGGACAGAACTTAAGATCCCAAAACCAGAGTTCCCGATAGAACCATATTCTCCCTTAGCCCTGGGCCTTTCAGCAAGAAAGAAACCGTTTCCTTAATGACTCATAGTTTTGTTTGAACATTGTTTGAACAGAAATAGGAAGTTCTGAGACTTGACTCATCCCGTGGTCCGATACAGACTCCTCAGGACGAGGAGTGTTGTCCATCCACTGTGCTCTTACTCATGTGGAAACAGAAGCGACATTGTGTCCTGTGGCCAGAAAGAACACAGTGCCATTAGGGATACAAGGCGAATGGCAGCCTTGTAAAGTCAGACAGCCAGACCGGTATTTCCTGCAGGGACTGGGCCGAGGGCAGTGTCAGGCTGCCAGGTACCCAGGCGTCCTCCAGCCGTTAACTGTCGCTCAGCCGTAGGGTAAACCCGGCTGCAGGTTCAAAAGCTCTCAGAAGAACTGCCGGCCTTATTGTAGACTGATGGTAAAGGATGAGAAGTCCTAATTAATGAGAACACTTCAGAACTTTTAAATCGTTTATGAAAAGAGGGCATTATGTCACTACTTCTAACTGTCTCCGTTCCAGTACCCGCCTGGACGAGACCATTAATTTAGCTGGATTGTTTGGGCATGTTAAGGGAGGTGATGGAGGAAGGGCACCAGTGCTCTTGATTTCCCCAGGAGCTATGTCCTGAGGTCAGGAGGGAGTCAGACCTGTGGACTCCAGGTCTCGTATGGTCTCGCCTGATGTGTGAGATTGGTTCTAACTGGTGGTGTATTGAGATGTGAATTTTCCCAAGGGTTGAGGGGGTTCTGTGAGGTAGATCAGTGGTAGAATTCTTACCTTCCACTCAAGAGTCCTGGGTTTAATTCCTAGCGAATGCACCTCTAAGTGCAGCCTCCACTTGTCCTTGGGTGGAGGAGGCCTGTGCATGGCTAGAGTGCTGACAGATCTCAGTACAGTGTCTAGACTAAGGAGGAGTAGCAAGAAAGGCCTGGTGATCTAATTCTGAAAATCTCACGGATCCCAAAGTTCTTAGCCAATTTGTCCGTGAGGTCACTCTGTTTTGGGGAACAATTTGACAGGAGCTAGCAATAACATGTGCTGTACCGAAGAACAACTGTATGGTTTCTAGAGTGCTGTTCCATTGTAGTTCATTGAAAGGTCTTCACTATAGTCCACAGAATAATGCCCGCTGTAATCATTGTGGTCATTGAATGGGGCTGTCCACAGAACAGTTGTTCATGTTCTGGATTGCCATGCCATTCCTCAGAAGCCATTCCATTGTAGTCCACTGAATGGCGCTTTCTAGAGTTGTAAGGTGACTTCCTGCACAGCTGATTCAGTTACCTGCCAGAATGAGAGAACCAGAACCCTCCAGGCTGTCCCAACTCATAAGGATTAGAGTGTCATTTCCTGAGGGATGATTACGCTACGAGGTTAATATCCTTTATTTTCAGCCCAGTCTTTAATGTGTAGCTCGTATATACTGTCTCTCAGACATGAACTGCATGGGACGCGGGGCTGTTACATGTGATTACACACGAGTGCGTTTTGACCAGGCTTTGTCTCACCTGTGCCTTTTTTTTTCTTCGATTCAGAGTGACAGATATAAACCTGGGGAAGCTAGTACGTGGGGACGCGCATGAGTGCTTTATTTCACCCGTTGCCAGAGCTGTCATTGAGCTGCTTGAAAAATCAGGTATGATGAGCCATCAGAAACATTATTTCCATTTTTCAGTAAAAGGGTTTGTTTCTGGAAGATTCTATTTGAAATATAGAAATGTCATTCATTATGGGGTTGCTTTATTTTTTTGTGTGTGTTTTGGAGGAGGAGGTGTGAAGGACTAGCTGCATATTTTTCTGTTACTATTAGTGTGTTGGAGTTAGTGAGACTGACTCAGGACATGGAAAGGTTCAGAGCTGTGGTACATAGGGTTGCTGTACATCGCAGGCAACTCAATGGCGCATAACAACAATAACATACTATGACAGGTTTGGAAGCAGGAGTGGCATCCACTTTCTAAATAACATGCCTCCAGAAACTTTATGAACTTCAGTAAATGTTGATAGTTGCTGAGGGGCTTCAGGCCTTTTGTTCATAGGGTCGCTAAGAGTCATGCTTAACTTGAAGACAATCAACAACAACAGCAACATTAGATTATAATTTCAAAGATTGAATTCGTGAAGTTGACCATTAACCTGTTTTAAATAGATTCTCGGTTTCTCTCAAGAGACAGTCACAATACAATAACCTCATTGACAAATGTTTTAAAGTTTCTCAAATCTATATGTCATCCTAGATAAAACATTAGAACTGGTGGTGTAATAGATAATATATTAGCCTGCTGAAAGACAGCTCAGCAGTTCATATCCACCAGCTGCTCCATGTGTGAAAGATTGGCAGTTTCCCATAAAGATGTTGGGAATTCGCTGGAGTGTTGCTGTGAGTCTGAACCAACTCAGCAGTAATGGATTTATGTTTAGATAAGACAAGACTGAAGTGAGAAAACTGTAAGATAACTTAGGTAGGAACAACTAGATTGGGATTTTTAGTGGGCAGAATTCTTAACCAATTCATCTCTGTGTGGATCCTAACAAATTATTATGGGTCGCATTAAGAAGAATGAGAATGACCGAATATGTGATTATGCTCATGCAAAACCTATACATAGGCTTATTAGCTGTTGGCTGAACGAAGGAACACTGCGTGGTTTAAAATCAGGAAAGGTCTGTATCAAGGTTTTGTCCTTTCTCCATACCTGTTCAGTCTGTTTGCTGAGCAAGTCATTTGAGAAGTTGGACTGTATGAAAAACATACATGTGGCATCAGGGTTGGAGGAAGACTCATCAACAACCTATTATACAGGTGAAACAGCCTTACTTGTTGAAAGTGAAGAGGCCTTGAAACACCTGGTGCAGAAACTCAAAGACCACAGCCCATGATGAGCTCTGGTGGCCTAGTAGCAAGAAGCTGCATTGTAAGCCCAGAGGTGAGCAGTTTGAATCCACCAGATGCTCTGCTGGAGAAGGAGGGACAATCTCCTCCTGAACCCGTCAGATCTGATTTGACGGTACACACACACAGAGAGAAATAATAAAAGTAAAAATAAAATGAAAATAAAATTTTAAAAAAGACCACAGCCCTCAATGTAGATGACATCTCAAGTTGAAGAAAATAAAAAAAAATCCTTACCCCCCAGCCCTGTGGACATCATGAGAAGAAACTGAAGTTGTCAGTGATTTTATTTTACTTAGATCCACAGTCAGCATCCATGATTATAGCAGTCAAGATTCAGAAGACATGTTGATTGGGAAAATCTGCTGTCAAGGACTTCTCTAAGTGGCAAAGAGCAAGGATGTCAGTTTAAAGACTAAGGGGTACCTGCTCCACCTAGGATGCTTCCTACAGGCAAGGATGGTGAAAACGTCATCTCATACGCATATTGTCAGGAGGGGCCAGGCCTCGGATAAAGACATCGTGCTGGGAAAGAGAAGAGGAGAGGAGGGCTCTTAACAAGGTTGTTGACTGCAGTAATGGGCTCGAGCGAGTCGGAGAGTATGATGAGGGTGGTGCAGGAAGGTTCCAATCTGTTGTTTGTAGGGTCACTGTGAGTTGTGATGGGCTTGCTGCACATAACAACGACCACAACAACAGGGAGCTCTAGTGGTGCAGTGGTAGTGTACATGGCTACTAACGAGAAGGTCAGCAGTTTAAACCTCCTGGCTCTTCCACCGCTGGATAATCTGGTTAGTGATCCTTAGCTCCTGGAATATAAATTTCGGAAAGAAAATAAATTACAGCTAATATAATAGCATGGTCAATTCTAAAAAGAAATTCAGCTAGGCCTGAGAACCAGAAATGTTTGTGGAGAAAATTTTAGTTAATTGCATCTGCTTTTGTATAGTCAAAGCCTTGGGAATCCTCTGGAGAAGTCTCTTCTGTTCCTTTAGGCTTGCTGTGAGTGAGAAGCAACTGGTGGGTAGCGAGATCTTCTTTTGCTTTTGGTTGAAGGTTTTTCTTAGTTGACTCCTGGAGTAAGTGTTCTTTAGAGGCAAGGATGGTGAAATGTCATCTCACTGCCTTTGGACACATTATCAGAGGGGACAGGTCTGGGAAAAAGAAATGTTGGTAAAAGTTGAGGGTTGATGAAAGACAGGAAGGCCCTCAACAAGATAAATTAAAACTGCAACCGTGGGCTTTGGGCATAGCAGAGAATGTGAGGCTGGTGCAGGAAAGGACACGGCTGTGATCTGTAAGTCATATTGAACTTGACGGTGTCTAACAACGATAAAGCAGAGTGCATAAGAATTCAACTAACAAAATTTTTCTCTACCCTCAATGGAACAGAAAAGAGACTTTCAGTGCCCTCTTGCCCTCATAAGCATGCACATACCTTATTTTTTAAAAAAATCCCCAAATGTAAATATGTGCTATATCTTAAAAAATTAGTTTTAAAGATTTGCTAATAGATCAATAACCTGGAATTCTCTCACATAATGTAAGTTTTCCTTTCATCAGATCATTGGGACAGTGATTCTGAGCTCTTCTACCATAACATTCTGCAAGAAAGTAAAACAGTGGCTGATAGAAAGTCAGCTAGGAGAATTAGAACCAGAAGTACCAGTTTTATAGAAGTCTTGTTGTTGTTGTTTAATGCCGCCGAGTCATAGACGACTCATAGCGACCCTGTGAACGAACAGCCTGAGCACTGTTCGTACATAGAGTTTCCGGAGGCAAGCCATTTCGGAAGTGGATGCCGCTCCTGCTTCCAGATAGAAATCGTAGCTTATATTTATTGTAAGTTGGCGTGGAAAAGGTTAAGTTTTAAATGGGTATTTTCCCTCTGTTACAGCTGGGTGAGATGAAGGAGCTGACTTTTTGAGGATGTGTTGAATTTCTTTGGTAGGGATCAACTTAAATGGAAAGAAGATCTTGGTGGTCGGGGCGCAGGGGTCGCTGGAGGGTGCTGTGCAGTGCCTGCTCCAGAGGAAGGGCGCCATGACGATGAGCTGCCAGTGGGAAACCCCTCAGCTTCAGAGTAAGGTAAGCCTCTCGCGTGTTGGCAAAACATCACCCACAAACAAGTAAATGTCTTAGGAAGGAGGGAAGACTTCACACGTGTCAGCTGAGCATTTCACTTAAGACATAGATAAAGGATAAGGGAAAATTTTTTTTTAATTTTTTTTATTATTATGTTGCATATGTGTGTCTGTGTACCGTCAGATCAGATCTGACTGGTACAGGAGGAGATTGTCCCTCCTTTCCTGGCAGAGCATCTGGTGGATTCGAACCATGCGTCTCTGGGATTGCAGTGCAGCTTCTTGCCACTA